AGCTCATTAAGCTGACTGAAAAGCCCTGTTCTGCAAAATCAAATGGCTTTTATATAATGTGCCATGCGATTGCAGCCCAGCGTAAAATGGATGGATGGGCATGATATGCTTTTGTTGTTCATTAAAATGTATTGTAATTGATATTTTAACTCAACAGAAGGCTACATTGTTTCTACAAAGCATCAAGAAATTCAGGTGCAATGGTGTGCATGCTGTAGACCATACTGCTCAAGAAGAAGTAGAAAAAAATGTCAAGAGTACTGTGTGGCAAAACTAGTAGTACCTGCAACAAAATGTTACAGTATATCCCCACCCTCACCCCTGTTTCTGACTCCAGGAGTGCTGCTTTGGCACAGAAGGGGCTGAGTTTCAGGAGCAGAGAAGAAAAAGGACCTCACACATTGCCTCTGCTTTTTATATCAGCAGTAAAGGGCTTGCAGGCCCCCAACCCGAAGATTATCTACACTTGAATTTATTAGTCACAAACTATCCTTAACACACTCCAGTACTGTAGCGGTAATATGAACAGCAGTTTTGTAGAATCACTGAAAGTAGGGCACATCTGTTGAGTCACATCTATACCACAAACAAACAGGTTTGTCAGGGCTTCCCCCAAAGTATTCTGGCCACTGTGGGGTGCTGGGGATGCTGGAAATTCAGTTACTAACCTGTGAATATTATTTCCCGAGCTTTGCTCACAGGAATACAGTTTGCAGAATTTCCGGTTGATAGGAAATGGGGGAAAGAGTTTAAGCATTAAATTTCTTTTGAAGAACTTACAACAATGAAACCTGACATTATTTTGCTTGCTGTTACTTGCTTGTTTATCCTTCACATATTGCTCTGAGTTGTATTTTATGTAATACTCAACGTGACAACCAAGGAAGCAACAGGCTCTTCTTTTATTTACACTGCAGTTCTCCAATAATATTCAGTATATCATATTTACCTATCTTTGTACAACAACATATTAGACTGAAAGCATTATGCATTTTTCAGCAATAACTCCCTGATGCTAAGCATCCTGAAGCCTATTTCTATTTAAGAGATTTTTCCACCCATTGCCTGTTCAGTGTAAGATGTGCTAGTGTACTTATATCCTATTTGTGATACGTTTGTCATTTGTTTGCCTTGACATTTAAGCTATTTTAAATGTACTACAAACATTTCTGTTCATGTCTACATAAAACAAAGGCCTTTACATTTCTTACCAGCAGAAATGAATGGATCGTGTTCATTCTATTTGTCACTGTAGCCATAAATATCCTTCTATATGTACATCAATCTCTGCATTTTAAGATATATTCAACCATGAAAGCTGTAGTCAATATATATCCCACACAACTTGTACCCTAACTCCAAATTGTATTGTATCCTAAGACAGTTTTAGCCTAGCGTTTGTCTACTTGTTAGTAGCCAAGATAACTACCTGTCTGTCTTTGAGATGCAGTGATTGTATGATGCAAAACTCCATCCTCCCTCTGTCTCAGAAACATAAAACATCTAACAGTCTGGGACCAGTGAAGAAATGGAAAAGGTTTCCATGTACCCTTATCAAGATTCCAGGAATTTAATAAAGAGAAGTGGTACCAAATCATAATTCCACTGTAACTGGAGCCAACCAAATTAGGAGACTGATTGTAAAACTCCTATTTCTTATGTGATTGGTTAGTTGCAAACAGTGGGGGAAGGCCAAGGGGATGGTGGCACCCCTTTTACAATTAGATTGAGGATGATTCTATAAATAAGTATTTGGAGTTTGACTCAGAGTAGATCCATTAAACCAATTTCAGTGGCTCTACTCTGAATAACACTTAGAAAAATGCAAAGTTGAAAACTGGTTGGCATTCAACTAACAATTGCCACGATTTTCTTATTCTGTGTCCCCTCCCCCTCCTTTCATCAGTTTGGGTCTCTTCCCTCTCAATCTTCCTTTCTTTCTTTGTGTGTATTCTCTTCCAAAAACAGCTGCATGGAAATCATCTTGGCACAGAATATTCTCGAATGCCAGGCTGTATAATCTGCCTTCGCAAAACTGGGAAGTTATTCCAGGACAGACTCGACATAACCTCCTGTGGGTATAGAAAAGGTCTAAAATCTCTTTTTAAAAATAATTCCTGGGACTTGAGGTGTTCTTTAAAGGACTAGAAGAAAATAAAAGACTATGCCAAATGTCTGTACAGTGTGGCAAGCAATGATAAAGAAGAGGTAATACAATTAGCAGCTTTTCTATTAGAGAAAAAGAAAATAACAGTTTGGGGTTTTTTACTTTGAAGCCACTGTTCTTATTTCTTTTAAAAAAACCATCCACTCAGTGGCGTAGCGTGGGTTGTCAGCACCCGGGGCAAGGCAAGTAATTTGCGCCCCCTAACCCAGTAGGGGCAGAGAGCTGCGAGTGCGCCCCCCCAGATGTTGCGCCCGGTGCGGCCAGCCTCCCCTGCACCCCCCACGCTACGCCACTGCATCCACTTCAACCATTTGATGCAAAATATACAAAACAGTATGCCATAAAACAAGACTGGACTTTTTAAATACCGGTAAATAAAAACAGTGATTCCAAAAATCTTATGCCTACAAATTACATATTGATTTCTCGAGGACTTTACTAGACAAGTATCACATTATGAGATCTCTGGTTTAGCTAAATGAGAATCATCACCACTGATATCAAATACTCTATTGCACAATACAATGCAAGAGTTTCAGAGACAATATGTTTATTTGGAATAATGAAATTCCATTAGCAAGCAATTACACCACCAAGTAAAGCAGTTATTGATAGCACTTACCAAATAAATTTATAGTTTTTGTTTATCTTATTCTCTTGCACATAAGGCTGCAACCCTAATCCCATTTACCCGGAAGTAAGCCCCACTGAATTCAGTAGGACCTATTTCTTAATAGCAATGGTTAGGATTGTACTTTAAAATGCTTAGATTTCAATCATGCTAAAATGAATGATTTCAGTTTCACCAAAATACTGTAAAATACAAATAGCTATCACTCCAGGGTCTATTAAAGTATTCCATTTTTATTGGAATATTATGGAAATGATTGTGTTGCTCTATCAGCACCTGATTGTTGTCTTGCCTAGTGTATATTACCTTTTTTACCTTTATTGTTTATAAATGTATAACAAGAACACCATTGTGTGGTAACCAGAGAATAGTTATAGTGTTTGTGTATTGTCTAATACTATAGTATGTGTTAAATAAAGATTTTTTTAATTAAAAAACCACTGTATCATCTTTATAAAATATTTAGAACAGCTATATGTTGTTAACCCATACTAGAAATAAATTATGTCTACAATTTGATCTTGAACTTGAATATTAATAATGTACTTTAGAGAGCATTTTATTAAAGATATTAAGATTTGCATCAGCAAAATTGGTAGATGTGTTTACAGATCAAATGTAATGTTGTTACAAATCGCATATAATTACAGCATTACATCCTCTGCTATAATATCCATTGATGGGAAATGGAATTATAAATTTTAATCCCACCTCATAGGGGGTGTCAAAAGGCTATAACTATAATTATGCTTACCAGTCAGTAGATGCTACTAAACTTTAGCCAGTCAGTTAGTAGCACTGGGGTGTAAACTTCATATCTGCTATTCATAAAACTAGGAAAATCCTTCTTCGAGACTGCATGCTTGTTAACCAAATGAAATTAATTTCATGAGTTAATTTGCAAATCCATTTACAAGTTCTTATCCATGCATAGCTGAATTCACAGACTTTGCTCAGGAACTGTGACTAGCAGGAATCTATGGCCTTGTTCCCTCATTAACATTTTATTTCAAAAATTCTTACCAACTCACTCTTGGAAAAGTGGGCAGGAATTGGTACGTATGCAGTTAAAGGAAAATGTTATAGAGTTTCATGGAAACATTTCACCCAGATTTAAAACAAAACATAGAGCATATTTTGAGAGTCTAATTTCAGGCTTGCTCCCATTATTTCCAAAATTCGGAGGAGAGTACAGACCCTTGTATAGCAAACAGTACCATCCACACATAGAGATGGGGGAGAAAATTGCTTTAGTCCTCATTTGAATGTGAACCTATTAAATTTGTATTTTCCACAACAATATGTGAACCAAAACACAGATATCCTTTGAAATTCACACTTATCTGAATTTTGTGATGCAGTTCTCTAGGCAATGTGCTTATTAGGAGAAATTAGTACTAAAATGCTGGTGAATTTTGATGAAGTGTTTGGTTTTAAGTTGCAATTTGCTGCATAAATGTGGAATACTGAATTGGAGAGTTTAGAAATGAACAACATAGAGAATGAACATTAACAAGTCCTTCCATCCTTATCCACACACAAGAGGCAAATTTGCAGAATCTCGACATTTACAGAAGTACAAAAACCTATATGAAATTTTGGTTTACTATTGGGGAAGAAGGGGTGGAAAACATGGTGGAATGGGGTGTTCTAGAGCTTTCTGGCTGTCTGGAAGACAGAACAGGAATATTCCACACTGCAATATTTCATTGTAGATCCCCATTTGTAGCAAGTAATCCAATTTCATCATGACTTTCTTTGTTTACCTGTCCGCCACTGATACTGATTAAATATTACACCAACCTGTTGCTTTCCAGATGTTAATATATTTGAGTTCCCATCTGCCCCATTCAGCATGGTCAATGAACAAGGAAGTCCAGCAACATTTTGAGAACAGGAGGTTGAGAAGGCCGTGTAACGTGCTCAACATGACCCGGATAAATATTTCACTAATTCCCTCTGCCAATATGTCATCACTTCCATTTGCAGTTAGAAGTATATATTGAATCAGTCAGAATCACAAGCCATGCTTCAGATTGCATAATGTTCACAAACACTTCAACTGCAAGATATAACAGTATACTGGGGAAAATCCCAGCCTATATGAGGATCAGGGAGAGACAAATGCTCTGGTTAAAGAGAAGGTAATCTGTAATGGAAACAGATTTCCATACTTCGATCTCCTTAGGGGTCTTCACATAGGATATCTGTTGAGTGTACAATATGGGTTCCTGTGTACAAAAATAACTGACTTGTACACTTGTAAAATTCACCAAGTGTATATTCTGTGTACACAATAGTTGTGCTTGACAAATAAACAAATGTGCAATCTTTCACACAAACTATTGCACATGTGCAGAGTCCTCTTGTACTGTGTTCAGTGTAATGTGTGAATAAGCCCAGCTGGCAGGCTAGAAACTGTGTAAACAAGGTATTGCCTGGAGATGGCATTCCTATGGCTGGATCAGCACTATCCTGTTGATAAATCCACATGCCAATCCTAGTTGCCTTTAATAATAAGTTTTATTATTACTTCTGAGTAAATGTATGTACTCATTTAGTTTGATATTTTAACAGTCTTTCCACTGTTGCTTTAACTGCTCCTTCCACTAGCCCTTCTTCTCAGTCCCCAGACAACATTGAATAGTGGCAGCATCTATTTAAACTGATTTTACAAATACAGTGGACACTCGCCTTGCGAACGTGATCCGTGCGGGAGGCATGTTCACAATCAGCAGCATTTGCAACCTACAGCAATGCGTCTGCGCACGTGCAGGTTGTGATTCAGCGCATGCGCAAAGCGTGATTTAGCGCTTCTGCGCTTGCGCAAGCGCCGAAACCCGGAAGTAACCTGATCCAGTACTTCCAGGTTCGGCGCAGTGTGCAACCCGAAAACACACAACCTGAAGCTTCTATAACCCGAGGTAAGACTGTAATTAATTAAGAACTTGGTCTTAGCTACCTCTAGTAACTTCAAACTCCATCATCCCGTGGGAGAGAAAAGTATATATTGGAAAGATGTGCTCCGCTCATTTGTGTCACTCAATACCCATGCATGCTTTCCAAATATTTCAAAATGTGACAGTTAATACTCTGTGTTCCAGGCCTTAGCACTTTAATGTATTGCAGCTATGGACATGAACCTTCCTCTCATCAGATCACAGACTTGGGCCACAATTGATGGTGCCGTTCTATCGCACAGTTGTGAATAGTTGATGGACCTCTACGCATAATCCATTTGTCAACATTGTTTGCCATAAAACTCAAAGATGGCTGCATTTTCAAAGAAGCTTTCTAAAAGCATCTCTGCTGTGTTTTCTCCCCCTTCCTATTGCTGTGCTGTTATGAGCAAAATGTTCAGCATTTAAGAATAATTTGTTTGAAAAATAGGTAAGAGCAAAATGCACAGCATGTCTACTCTAAAGACTGTTCCAATTGTCCCTTACACACACACACACACACACACACACACACACACACACACACCACTGGTGTGATTTAGCATTGCTATAAAATTAAAATGTGAAAATTGCTCCAAGGCAGAATGCTATCACTTTAGATGTAAAGCTATCAGCTCTCACCATTAATAGGCATTGAATTTTCAATCAAAATAATTCAATCAACAATCAAAACAAAACCATGGACAATTGAAAAATACAGTCTAACAGCCTTGCAACTAGCCATTATTTCCCCCCTCCCTTCATTGATTTTAACTCTTACAATCCCAATGCAATGCTATGCAAGCTGAGAATATTGCAAGTGACCTTCAAGCCTGATATTTAGGAGCACAAGTTCTAAATAGTTTAACTGGAATATTAACCAGTTGAAGCTTTTGCAGCCCCATGTCCCTGGTCAGAGGCCACCAGGGAGGGGGGCAGGTGAAGTCAAAGCAGCAAAAAATAACATGACACCATCTTGAGATTGAAATGGCCACAATTTTATTGATCACAGATGTGAGCAGACTTTGGCAAAGGTGTTGGGTATGTATCCTGACTCAGCCAACCCAGTTACTGGCTGATACTACATCAGGGTAAATTCTGGGCTTCAATACCCTCCCATGACACAGAACTGTGAGGTCAACCCACCAGGACACCATTTGGACACCATTCTATGGCCCAATGGTCCCTGTCTGGGATTTCGGGCAGAACCCAACCCCTGCACCCCATTACTGGGGTATCCTGAATTTGATCCTGGATCCGGGGAAGGGGCACCCAACTCCCCACAGCTTAGACTAAGGATCTAACCCAATCCCTTCTTTCTGCCAAAAGCTATAGCAGTTGCTATGAGATAGGTAAAACCATCAGACAGGCCCAATTCATCAGCAACCAATTAATTCCACAGCAAGGTCATACAGATACACTCCCTGCTTACCTCTGAGCAGAGCCAATGAATACAGTGGATTGGCACTGGGTGTTTGGCGAGCTAAAATTTCCTTTGTGATATGAAAGCCCCTACCTGTATTAGTGTCAACGAGCCCCATCCTGTATATTTATTTGCTAACACAGCAACTCTTAGAATGAGGCTGTTAGTCTTTCTCTTACCTTTAAGATATTAATAAAGACACATTAAATTATAGCTGTGTGAGAGTGTGGATGATAAAATGGCAGGAGCACCCATTTATATGCACATTTAATTATGCGTAAATATAACGTTACCCCAGACTTAATAGTCTGTAAAAATTCATCAAGCTACAGTTTACAACCTTTGCCTAGCAATTTGCTTCATGTTTTGAAACCTGTCTGCTTTGTTACTCCTTCACTGGCCATGCAGTAACTTTTCCTAAATCTGTTAGGAAAGGTAAATACTACATCATCTAGACAGGATTCTGCACGATTAGACCTAGTGAAGCAGCACACTGTCTGGAGGATAATTAAGCCATAAACATGTCTACATAATTTTACTCATTGCAGTCCTAGGACGAATGGTTGATTTGCAGATGAGCAAAGAAAATAATGCACAGAGGCTTTAAGAGCCTTAGGACATAGCTGAAAAGTAAATTTAAACTAGATGCTGGGGAGGGTTGCAGATGGACCCTGGCACCCATTAGCCCCAGCCAGCATGGCCAATGGTCAGAGTTGATGGGAGCTGTAGTCCAAAAACACAGAGACACACAGACTGGTCCCAGTGTAGCAAGATGCATTGTATTTCTATTTAAATTACAGGCAAATTACGTAATATATTTGGATATATACATATGAATTGGCATATGCAAATGTTATGCAAATCCATGGCCTCTAATGCCTCATTTTTTCCTTTTTTAGGTGATTTTGGCTACTTGGCACCCCTTCTATTTGTCCACCAAACTCAATATTACCTACTCAGGCTGTCAGTGACTCACAAGGATGAAGCCTGAAGGCTTGCTCAATCCTGCTAATTGGAGATGCCAGAGATCTGGGACTTTCTGCATGCAAAGGCTGGTCCTTCTCCAAATTTCCAGATAGCTTATCAGAAATTTCCAATAACATGCACAGCCTATTTACCACCCCTGAAATCTGTGAGCAGGCTTTCCACGTAGATGACCAGATATGCCAATTTTGCTTCCTCTCAGTTTCTTATTTTTCCAGTCTTAAGTTCAGATCTCCACATTTACACATCAGTTGAATTAAAAATAAAAAGTTCCCATGACAATTTGTCAGCATTTTTGCATGAAGCTCTCCAACTATATGTGTGTTATATGCATCCTCCCATATAATATATTTTGTATGTTATTTTCACTCACATAGGCATTTAAATGCAAACTTCACTGCATGCCCTTTTGTTCACGCTACTTGGGCTTGAGAGCTGCATTGCAAAATTCAGCGGTGTGAATTTCTGTGTTTGGGTTTACAAATTTCCCCCCCAAAAGTGTGAATTAGGTATATTTGCCTTTAAACGCAAACTGAATTGAATTTATCCCTCATCCTTACCTATGAGAGAGCTGCGTATCTTCCAGCCTCAACATTGCCATAGGGGGAGGTGAAAGTATTCAAGATGCACACCCCTCAGCTAAATAAATCTGCCTTCGAGTTTCATGACTACCTTCTCCCTTCCCTGGGAGACAAAGATTGCATTGATCCTTCATCACTTTTCACAACACCGACCCCCAGTTTCCACTCTTCACTACCTTCTCTTTGCTTGGACCTTCTGTTTCGTTTATATAGCAGTCACTGCAACTTGGTATATCACTCATTCCTAGTTGCCACCTCCCATATCCACAATGCTGGTGAAACAAGATCAGGGCCAAGCCCTGCAGGGTCTCCAGCCTTCCACATTTGCTCACAGTTGACCTGCATCCCACTGCAAATTCCATATCAAATCCTACTAGAAATAAAGATCTGAAGGTTATAGCAACATTCTACTTGTATTTTATGGAAATATTAGATGAATATTAGGATGAATTTGTCACCTATCTTCCCTTCCCAAGGCACCTTGCAATTTGCTCCTTCCCAATTATTACCAAAAGCAGAAGGTGGCAGGTGAATGTAAAGATTAATCCATTAGGGTGAACATACTTCCATTTCAAAGTTTGTTAATTTTCTTTCTACTTTGTCAGTTCTAATTTATCATCCAACTTGAAATGTAATAATTCTGCTGGTGCTTGAGTTCTATAATGTAGCGAAGGCTGTATTAGAATTATGAAACTGCTTATAGATTCTAGCGACATTTGTTAATATATTACAAGGTAACACATGTTGAGATCAGGCTCCCGACATGTCAAATTAAATCAAAAGAAAAATTAGTGAAGACATAGCTCAGCTGATGTTCAAGCAATTATACCGAAACAGAAAACAGGATTTCAGAGGATTTAAAAAATGGATACTGTATTTCCATTGGAAAGCTTTTTTTAAAAAAGTTTTTTTTAAAAAAACCCCTAAAGCTATAACAATACTTCACTTTTGTGTTTTATAAAGTACCATCGGTTTTGAATTATTGCAATGGATCTGTCTGTCATTAATATTCTTTGCTCTATTAAAATGACCAAAGTTATTCAAACAAGTTTTCTCCTTTGTCTTAGCAATTTTCTCCATTATTCATAAAAGGGTACAAAACCCTCCACTCACAATCAACAACTCACAACCATTAAAACAAATAGGACTATTTAAAACAAAGCCTTAACATTCTCTGGAAAGAAAAGTATACTAGCATCTCTTCCTAAGAGGTTATTAGAGGAAAACGAGATTATTTCCAGTGCATCATCAAAATAAGCACTTGCTGTAAACACAAATACGTCAAAACCTTTATACGTGTAAAAAAATATGAAACTCTAAACTTTAGTCCTCAAACACCATTTATGAAGTACCTGTTGTTATAGATCACAGCTACAGATCAGAATTTGGGTGCCTGTGTATCGTTAATATGTCTCTATGTGCGCAGTGCTCCCCCCCCCCCCAAACAAAGAGGAGCCCTCAGAGCCAAGGAAGGTGACCCAGAAAGAAACCCCTTTCTTGCAGTGCCCCTGTGCATTTGCAACAGAAGCGACGCAGTGCAAGTGCATGTGTGTAGCATTTTTATATTTATTGTTCTGCATCATATACAATTAAAACACTCTATAGTTTGGAGAAGGTCTAAAGCAGGTTGATGCAGGTTAAAGCAGGACTAAAGAAGGTCGACATCAATTTTATTTCTTCTTTGCTGGTTCTAATTTATCAGCCAACCTGAAATGTAATAACCGTGCTGGTCACTGAGTTATATAACGGAGCCAAAGTTGTATTAGAGTTACGAAACTACTTGTGGATTCTGGCGATATTCATTAATATATTACAAGGCAACGCATGTTGAGATCAGGCTCCCAGTCTCAAGTGTTATGGCTGTGAGTTGTAAGCATTAATGTCACTGAACGATAATGATATCTGCAGATTGTTTATTTCCAGTTGTGCTTCTATAGACTTTTTCTCCTAATGAAGTATCAGCGAGACATAATCTGCAGACATAATTTTGTTTTTGCCATTTGCCATGGTTCCATTCATTGGAAGCAATGATAATTCATTCTCTCCGGGTCTCCCCTGTATTCTGTGAAAGTGTGATAAAGCAACACAGTAATTTACAGATTTAGTGAAGACAGATTTATTCATGTAATCCCATTTTCCCTCCTCAGCCCCTTATTTTGGAAGGAACTGTGGGACTTGGGTTCAAATATAAGTGAGGAAAATGGAGGTGAAAATGTCAGAGCCCCAGACAGTGCAGTGCGCCTCCAGGCCATCTTCTCCTAACAAGTCCTGAAAGGAGGAAACAGAAACATCCAGTAGGCAATTGAATAGGACAGGACAGCAAAAAAAGGACAAGGATTCATCTAAGAAAAAAGGGGAAGAGGGGAAGAAAGCAAGAGGTATAACTCATCTGGCTATGCTATTTAAAGCAAATCTCTAAACAACAGGAAGGTTAGAAACTTAGAACCAGTGACCAATTAGTTGCTTTGGCCAATCCCCAACTGCACTTCTGGACTGAGATGTAGCAAAGATGGCCATGTGTCTTACTTTACAGAAGACAGTCCTCTGTTTCAAGGCATCCTCAGCCGATTCAAGTTTGCTTAAAAGAAAAAGAATGATAAATATGGAGAACAGGGGCCTTGAAGTTCACCATCAACCGAGAACACTTGGAGAAGAGACTCGCCTGATCGCGATCTCTCTCCCAGAGCTCTGAAATATATTGTTTTTCTATTTAAATTATAGTAATTACTTCTAAGTTTGCATATACAAATAAATTAGTCTATGTACATTTTATGCAGACCTATCTTTTTGGGGAAGGATGTGTTTTCTCTTTATTGACAGTGAGTGGGTTTGGATTGCAGCCATGGTCTGTGTACAGTGGTGCCCCACAAGACGAATGCCTCGCAAGACGGAAAACTCGCTAGACGAAAGGGTTTTCCGTTTTTGAGCTGCTTCGCAAGACGAATTTCCCTATGGGCTTGCTTCGCAAGACGAAAACGTCTTGCAAGTTTGTTTCCTTTTTCTTAACACCGTTAATAGAGTTGCGACTTGACTTCGAGGAGCAACTCATAGAACGTGGTGTGGTAGTTAAACTTTTAAAACTTTTTGGGGGGGTTTGGATTTTGGGTTGGGGTGTTTGGAATTCAAGGACTTGGTGTTGGGGAGGGGTCTGCAAGAATCTGGAAGCTTGTGGTTTTTTCCCCTGCATTTTTATGATTTTCTGTGACCATTGGGCCACTCTGCTGTTTTTTAAAAAAAATTCTGGATTTGAATTTCTGTGTGGTGGGTGGCTGGGGGAACAGTTGAGGAGGGGGTTCTTCAGCAAGAAGCAAATAGAGGAAGAGGAACCTTCTTCGAGTTGACCCACAGAGTCATAGAAAATGTACAGTACACTTTGTTGATTTTTAAATGTTTTTCTGTCATGTTTAGAAACTTAATTTTTGTTCCTTCAATTTTTGAAATACTCTTTACAGTATGTGTGACTTTAAAGAGCACTTAATAAACTCTTGTTGTACCAAATTTGGCTTTGTTTGGACTTTTTTTGACCATAGGAACGCATTAATTGAATTTCAATGCATTCCTATGGGATTTCGTGCTTCGCAAGACGAAAAATTCGCTAGACGAAAAAACTCGCAGAACGAATTAATTTCGTCTTGCGAGGCACCACTGTATATGTTTAGTCAAAAGTACACACATGACAAACATGACAGCATGATATCATTATTTACTAAAAGGCCTGCTTGCCGGGGGGGCAGGGCACCACAGATCAAACTGTGCCTTGTTATGCAGAATGCGAGAGCAATAAAAGGGGAAACCTTTCTTCAACAAATCCACATTGTGATGGAATTTGACAACATTCTACATCCCTAACACAGAACTCTTCATTTATATTCTGTATCAAGCCCTGGACATGTGTGTTTTGAAGAAGTCACATAATTTTTAATATGAGAAGCACTGTGCCGCAATTCTAATTTAACCATCCTTATGCACTTACCAAGTGCAAGAATTTTTTAATTAAGTCCTTGATCCAAGAATTTCATCCTAATTTGCAGTTAGGGGTGTACTGGCCATAACAAAGGTGGTTGCTCATTCCTTTTCATCTTCAGCTGTGGATTGGAGAAGGCTCACAAGCAGACATTTGTCCTGCAGTGAACATGTGCTATTGCAACTCTCCCATATTAACAGCTTGCATGGATTAATTGGAAGGAACACTTCATTCTTGTAGGGGTTTTCAATCCTCAAGAAATGTTTTAAAGCGTGAAATGTAGCTAATAGCCTGGCAAATTGCAAAGCAGAGCCCACCACTATATGGGCGATGAGCAAATATTCATTCTTTATAGGAGTCTCTGAGAAAAAGCAAAGAGATTTTGCCTGCTGCAGGCTTCAGACGAGATCCAAAGAGCTAATTTAGGTACTCCCCAAGTGGTTAGGCACACCCAGAGGGTTTGGAAGAAGAAAAGAACAGATCTCCTGTTCAAAAGCAGTAGCTATTTGAATCCCCCCAGAGTTTCTACAGCAGTTTGCCATTTAAAATGGCAGATGCTGTTTAGCAAGCCACAAAGCCAAAGCCCCACTGGAACTCATGGAAATGTGCTTGTTTATTGATAAAATGCACTAACCACTAGGGGCGGATGAATCTGTTGGTTTCAGTTACTTATCTCTCCATTCTTAAGTTCATTTAATCACATTTCTACATCTCTTTGCATTTTTTAAAGTCTTGAAAACTATCAGCGTTTTAATGCTCAATATTCTCACACATGTTTTTGAATGCAATTTTGCCTAATATACACATTTTTTTCCAAGATTCACACACACACACACCCAGATAAAATGTATTTTTGGTATGACATTTTCACAGACATTTTAATGCATGCATGCCTTTAGTACATTACTTTGGCTCGAGGACTGCATCACAAAAGTGCAGGTTTTGAAGGATAGCTGTGTTTGGGCTTCTGTATTGTTTTGGGAAGTATGATTCAGGTGGCTCCACATTTTAATTTTCCCCACATCTTTACTAACCATCCAAGGAAGAGTTAGGCAGCCACCTCAGGCAACAGATTCTGAAGTGGGTGGGGAGCAGACTGAGCTGTGTGCCCTGTAGCCAGCCCTGTGCCCTCTAAGCTAGCCAACTGCCTTAATGTGCAGTAGAGGATGTTTTCCTGTTGCCAATGTTGAAGTAAGATTTGACTGCCAGTCCATTTGACTTCTTCTTTTTTAAAAAAATATTTTATTAAGGATTTTCTTGTTTTACAGAAGTGTAATGCCTCGTATTTTTTTTTCCATGTAACATTTTTACAAATCCGTTTCATTTGTTGAGGCATTAGGGGGAGGAGGAAAATGGGAAAAAGAAGGGGGGTGGAGAGAGGGAAGATGGATGGGGTCAGGGTCGGGTGGCGGTGTTTCTATTATGTTTAATGTATGTAGAGTTTGGTGTCAACGTTGCTTGTGTTGTTCACTTGTGTTCCTTTGGTGGTGAGAGAAGTTGGGGTTGGCCTAGGGTGTGATTGGAATGGGAAGGTGCTATCTTATCCTTTGCCTCTGGCAGCAAAATGTCTTGTATCAGCCTTGCCCCTTCTCTATTAAAAACACTCATGGTATGGCTTTGCACAAATAATAACATCAATCTAACAACACACACAGTGTCAAAGTAGAGCCACACAGTAAGTACCCAAATGAGCCATGTTTAAAAGCGTTTGGATAATAAAAAAAGTCTTCACCTAGGTGGAATCTTTGAAAAATACATTGAATTTGGCATACCTCACTCTCGCCATCTAGTGTCACATTTGTATATTGCACTTTACAACACATTTAAAACGTTTTGTTTGCAGCTGTATAGCTGAGTCCTAGTGTCCAAAGCTAAGCAGTGATGCTGCCTCTGAGTCTCTTTTACCATGAACTTCTTTAGATCTTAGGCATTATCTTACACTTGATTACAGGTATGTTGTGCATGCTGAAGTCACTTAAATGGGTGAGTTGCCAGGTAAAAAAATGGGAAATTTACATGGAAAATTTAGGGCTTCTTATTCAAGTAATACTCTATAACTCTTCTGTGCCTGTCACTAGATATGGTCGTGTGTACTGGGTAGTATTTTGATGGTTCTGCAGTCATCAGTACTAACCATATAAGGACATGCTATGGACCAAGAGCAATCCAAATCTCTGATTTGCATGGGCTGTGGGAGTCAATGAGTGAATATGATCCCCAAAGTAATTACCATGTGGATAGGTTGAGAGAATAAAGTCAAACAGGTAGTTCCAGACATGCCCTTCAAGAAACAGAGGCACTCTTTTGATTTGTGGACTTGCCTCCAATACACCACTTCCTCTATCTGGCTGAATTATAAATGCTAAGGAATTCGAACAAGAATATAACCAATGACTTAGAGCTAATTTACTTCTTCAGTTTCTGGCATGTTATACAGTGCTCCTTATAACATTTGTTTGTTTTGTTTTTAAAAACGTGCGTGCCAAACATGGCAGCTAGCTAAATGTTGGAAAAGAACAATAAAAACAATATAAAAACAAGTTTCTATTTATATCACATTAAAAAATATGCACCAGTGTGAAACATATAAACTTATCCAGGAGACCAAAATAGAAAAATAACTATCAACGAAAATAGCGTGATTCCCTAAAGGCTTGCGGGAATAAGAGTGTATTTAGCCTTCTAAAGTTAAATACCGAGCTTGCTTTGTGGGTTTTTTTCAAGGTGTGAGTTCCTTAATGGGGATGCCACTAAAGAAAAAATCCTGGTCCTATTGGAAGGAAGGAAGGAAGGAAGGAAGGAGGGAAAGTTTTACAAAGTATGAGAAGACAGGTATGAGAAGACTCAGAGAGGTTTTGAAAGCTACATAAGGCATATAACAGAGGAAATGACAAGGATGGCAGAGAAATTCAATTCAGTTCACATTTAAAGGTGAATCTACCCAATTCACACTTTCTTAAACAATACATGAGCTGAAACACAGCATTCCTTCAAAACCGACACATCTCTGAATTTTGCAGTGTAGTTCTCCAGGCTAGTAATGTGTACAAAAATGTACATACTAGGGTAAAATGTGCATCTAAAGACATATATTAGTGAAAGTAGCATGCAAATGCATTTTATTATGGGGAAATGCTTGCAAAAAATGCATATATTTCTCAAAACTTCATAGAAAAATGTACTTATTAGTAGAAATTCTCACTAAAATAATGGTGCAAAATTTCATGAGGCTTTTAAAAAAATACAAATATAGAGAAATGTGGAGTGCTGAATTTAAGAGTGGAATAATGAAGAACTGAGAGATTAAAAAATACAATCTAACAGCCTTGCAACTAACCATTATTTCCCCCCTCCCTTCATTGATTTTAAATCACCTGAAGATGAGAGATGAGGCAATGTATGGACTTACAGGGTTCTGGAGGCAAGGATGAAGAATCTGCACACAATCTAGGTGTTGACCAGAATCTGGTGTAAAGATTTAAAGGTGCATATTGCATAGCCAGAATTTTGAGATGGTCTCACAGTATAGGAGGGGCTCATATAGAAGAAGAAGAGAGCATTCCATGTCAGCTTTCTCTTACCCAGGGAAACTTCACATGTTGAAGGAAAGTATTTCGACTTGTCTTGCTGTGTAGCCTTTTTATGCACAGGGAAATTTACATGCCGGGGTGCTAATCCCCAAGCTGCATTACTCTGCCCAGACCTTCTGTGCTGCTACACATTTAAATTGGCTCTTATATAGCAGTTCATAGCTGCAAAATTCAAATAACTTGTCAAGGCATTCAGAAAAAAACAGCTGATTGTTTGGGAAGCATCCCTTTAAAACTAATGGGAGAATGAATTACACAAAGATTGTTTTTCTCTGTGACATACGTTTCTTGCAATGCTACATATATTGGCAATCTGTGTATAGCAAAAGAAATGAAAGCAAGCCTTTGAGTGCCAACAAACTGGGATTTAAAAGAAAAAAATACTGGATACCTTTTTGAGAAGTGATAAAAGTTTCCTCTGTGGATTAACTTTCCAGGTCAGAGTAAGATGTCCTGAAATCTCTTGATATTAGTCTGCCTTGCATTAGTGGGAAAGACATATTCAGCACTCTCAAGGCAGTCCTTAAAACACACACAATTTTTTTCACAAAAGCAATTCAGTCTTAAAGCTTGTATAAAGTAGTAATATAATATAAAGGGGAAAGATAACCATGCTTTGAAGTCCAGACCACAGAGAAGCTTGCTCATAAACCTCTCAACATTGAAATGAACACCTTTTGTCACGTTGGCTGGATCATGCCCACAGGATCAAAGTTCACTGATAACTGGAGTTAATGTTACTGTTGGAAATCCTACAGTCAGGCTGATGTTGGCCAGGACTCCTGCACTATATTAACCCAACCATTCTCTGAAAAGGGCAGGTGTTACACTATTCCTCTTCAATTTCCTCCTTCGTAGTGAGTCACCATTCAGCTTCTTTGATTTCCTGCCTCTCTCTACAATTTCAGCCCATGTACTGAGCTCCACAGTGCTGGGAAGATACTCCTAATCTCCTGTACAGTTTCCCTAATGTCATGCAAATATTGCAATTCCACCAGAGGTGGAAGAGATGAGATGTTACCCCTCCTTTCCCTGGATGGCAAAAATATTCTGGCGCATGTATTGGTGTGTGCCTCCGCATGGCCACACTGCAGAAAACAAAAGGAGCAATCTCAGAGGTGCTATAAAGATATCTTTAATGAAATTGTTCGATTATGTCACACATTTCAAACCTATATCATTCTCTACCAGGGAATTCTAGATACTGTTGCAAGGAGATATATTCCCTTCTCCAGCTCTTTCCTCATTCTTGAAATGCATTACCTTGTGAATGATTTCATTAAAGATGGGGTTTTTTTAGTACCTTTGGACTGATCCCCGATGTTTTCTGTACTGAAGTTCTATTAACACATTCTGCACATCAGCCTATAAATTAGCTAAAAACCAACAACTTCAACTTAACCAGCTGTGAGACCATTATTCACTGATCGGCAAGGGCACTATGATCAGCTGGTGGGAAATGGAGAGTTTTGCCATAGCCTGATAATTATCGGCTACTGATAACCTGGAGGCAGGCTTTCTCACCAGGGGCACCAATGCTGCGGAAAGCAATCCCTGCTGAAATACCAGAGGCATTTCACTGTCTTCCAAAGACTCACATGTTTAGACAAGCATTCCCTTGAACATAATTTCTGGTGTTATTGCTTTAACTATTGCTTTAAAGAGGGGGGGAAACCATTTTCAACTGTGGTGCTTTTTAATTGATTGCTTAATTGAATATTTTAATCAAGAATGTTTATTTCTCCAATGGAACTGTTATCATGTATTTTAATTGTGTGTTGATTTCGTAAGTTGAAAACTGCTCAGAAGCCATATAAATTAAATAAATAAATGAGATTCAATTTATGAATGGATAAAAAAGAGAAACAGTTAATGAAGGGCAAGAGTGGAGGAAACTGCACTACTTTGAGATACTGTCCCCTTGGAAGACGACGACGAAGAAGAAGAAGAAGAAGAAGAAGAAGAAGAAGAAGGAGGAGGAGGAGGAGGAGGAGGAGTTTGGATTTGATATCCTGCCTTATCACTATCCTAAGGAGTCTCAAAGTGGCTAACATTCTCCTTTCCCTTCCTCCCCCACAACAAACACTCTGTGAGGTGAGTGGGGCTGATAGACTTCAAAGAAGTGTGACCAGCCCAAGGTCACCCAGCAGCTGCATGTGGAGGAGCGGAGACGTGAACCCGGTCCCCCAGATTACGAGACTACCGCTCTTAACCACTACACCACATGCCTGCCCCTCCACCCTCTCCTTGAGACTATAGCTTCTCTCAGATATTACTGAGATCAGTCAAAATCAAGTTACTCCGTTTCATGACATGGAAGCAGTTCCAGAATGCATAGGTTAGTCTTGGCAGCAAGCATCATTGCACATTGTGTGTGGCAGTTGTGAAGAAAACTCATGGGAAGGGTTAGAGATGGGAATCACCATGATGTGTGGAGGCAATTCATGAGAAGCAACCTGTCATGAAAAGTTACCCATCATCACTCAGTTCAGATATAAATGGCTATCCAGACTTGATTTTGGCACATTACATGTGTATTCCCTGTGCAAAATACTAGTAAAGTAATTTAATACTCTCTCTCTCTCTCTCTCATTGTGATAAGCTGTACAAACTTTTATATTAAAATGTGCATAGTAAAGTGTTTGGGGGTTGGTACTGTTTCTTGTTTTGCATTGCCTATAAATGAGTTTACAAATGAAACTAGCAGTAGGAACATAATAAAGTTGGCATTCACTTATTTAATGCTACAGCTCTAGAAGCAGCTGAACTGTATGTAATGCTTATCTTTAAATATGTGTCAATCTTATACCAGATAGTGGGCTTTAAAAGATCGTAAGTTACATAGTTACATACAAATTAAGGTAATGGTTTATTTCCCCCGGGGCTCACTACAGTCTGTTCAGGGACCAAGCAATTTGAGAAACAGAACATGTGGAACGTTAAACAGTCCAAGAAGCAGTGACTATACTGATTGGTTTTAACAGCCCAAACTAATTTAAAGCATGCCATTTGATGCAAGTAATCTTGGACTGGTTTTTTGATTATGCAACTGTATTGGCAGCAGCGCTGGCACAGAGCTATTTGTTCACAGTACAGAAGAGAACCTTTTGCTGTACCTGCTCCATTTAGGTGCAGAGAAGGAAATTGTTAGGGGGAAAAGCAGATTGCAATCCTTCTATTAAACAGTTAACAAAACATTATAATATTCCTGAATGCATTACTAGAAGTTGATTGGGAGGTTGAGGGCATATTGTAGATTGGCGTAATGTTAAAGGAGAGCAAATATCATTCCCAAAAAGTCACTGCATCCGTTAGAAAAACTAACGGTCTGAACATAGTGTCACTTCAGTGTAAGTTGGCGACAAGAAAAGCCGTTGCCTCTGTTGTGGAACCAGGTCACTTGTGGTTTCCAGGTCATTTGCATCCACAAGCATTTGCAGAAACAATGGAACGAATTACAGTATCATATATTTGTAAAACCCATAGGCTAGATTCAATGTCATCATTCAGATATCACAACAGATCATTGTTACCATATTGGCCCGAATATAAGCCGCACTTTTCTCCGGCTTAAATTTGAGAATTTACAAAAATTGGCTTTTACAACATCGCTGTAGGGTTTTCTTCTACATTTGCCATTTATGGGTGTGAGTGCCTGCGGAATTTTAAGGGAGTAGGTTATATTTGGGCATTGTCTTTTTTTTCTTTTTTCTCCCCATGAATTTTAAAGGTGCGGCTTATATTCAGGCCAATATGGTAGTTGTGAAAAGAAAACACTGTAGTGAATTTTGGGGTTGTACATTTTCTGTCTTTCTTCCTCCTCCTTCATACGCAAGGAGCAAACTGCATATGGAAAATGGTGGTTTGTACAAACCATCATTTGTTGTTGTTGTTTTAAAGTCAAGAATATCAAATCACAATTGGATCCTGGTTTGATATCCCAGTTGCTTCACAATGATCTGCTTACACTACAATTTATTTTAGTCAGACACAATGAGAAACTACAGAAAGCCACAAACTATGAGTGGAAGCTTTAAATCTCCGCTCTCATGTGTGAAAGATGGGGGAAGGGGAAGAGTGGATTCAAAATATTTTCCAAACTTTTCTATATATCATCTTTCCTCAGCCACAATCAAGGACAACACCTGAGGACCCAAAGCTGGGCAAAGCTGTTGCAAATGTTTTCCCAGACCACTTCCCAAATCCCCTTGCTCATCTGCACTTTCAAGTTAAAGTGCCCTGAAACTCAGTGGAACAGCTGTAAAATACATGGAATTGTGGCTGCAGCGATGGTATATTTTCCTGTATACTAGAAATAACTGTTCTCCATCTATTCTTGGATAGCACTTAAATATTTGATAGCTATTTGCTAGAGAAATTTTTGTTTGTTTATTCAACAGTTTTGAAATAGCAAAATGGTCTGCCATTGCAGAATGGATTCCCCACTCCTCCTCCATAATATAATGAACATTTATTCAGGAAGGGTCTTAGAGTTGATTGAACAGCAAAGAGGATTTTGAGGAAACCTACAGTAGAATCAGAAAAGAAAAGATGCATCCTTGAACCAGGTTTGCACATCACAATGTGCCAAACTATGTGGATGTGGGCTCCCAGAAAGGAAGGAGCTCACAGCTGCTTGGCTCCTCCTCAGCCTTCTTTGTCCCACCCCATACTGAACGATGTCCAAACCAACACTTGTGGCTAAGCTGTCTCCACACTAACCACAAGAATAAACATTGGCTACAGCGGCATGGGAGTAAAAAGACCACAGGTCCTAGTAATTCATTATTTGGCTTAGTGTGACATACAACCCAGGTCATAGTGTCTAGTTGGGATTGGGGTGGGGGGAGATGTGTCCATCACAATGTTCAGTTCACATGAGACTGGTACAGGGCAAACCAAATCCAGTCTTCTACTCAATAGACAGTGGTGAAGTGTAGGTGGTTTCCCACAAGGCAAGACACAGTGATAACAGCAAGAACCTTTATTGAATTAACAGAACTGGACAACAGGGGCAAAGCAACTGCTTATATACATTTCTGAAGGCTTATATACCTGATTGGCTGTCTAAACTTCCAATCTGCGAATCATGACTCAGAGGCCCAGATCCTGAAATGCTCTGTGATTGGCTATCATGTGTACAATCAGAACACAGCGGCTCAGAATCTTTAGTCCAGACTCAAGCTCAGGCACAGACCACTGAATACATAACAAGTGGCATGGGGGTTCAGCTCACCTCTGGTTGATCCTGTCATTGTTGCATACTGAGGAGCGAGATGGTAATGAGATTGGCATGATACAAACACACTGACGAAACCAAACCACTTCTCCCACCGGTGCTGTTGCCCTGTGCCAACCTCACTGTTGTCTCAGCCTCTCTGCCTCTCCATCCTGGTATGTAGCAGTGATGCAGGTGACCAGAGGTCAAGTGGGCACCACCACCCCGCCGGCCGCTCGCTTCTGCTCCTTTACCTAAGCCATTGATAGGGAACTACTGTGTATTTTCTAACAATACTTATCAAAATAGGGATGCATGCTCCTAAGCCTGAGCCATATGACCCACATCTGGATCAGGACGGCAGATGCAGATTGCAAGGCCCATTACACACAATTAGGAAACCTGACTGTTCCACGAATATATTGAGTTCAGTGTATATGTTTGATTCTAAAGTATAATATACTGATAATATAAGATGAGAAACATATATCGTCAAGGCTGGATCCGTCAGGGGTCTTTTTATTGTGTCATTTAATAATTGTTCATAAGAGTTACATAAGATATGATAATTATATAATCATATAAAATAAATCACATCTTCATATATCTCCTGTGTTGTAAAGCTCAGTGAAATTTACTGCTGCTATGAATTCTTGCAGCTGTAGAGATACAATGTTCTCTGTTTTTATAAAAATAAATAGAAACCTATAGATATTGGCTAACAAAGAACTAATACTTTTCCATGAGGTTACTTTCTACAATATACAGATTTAGTGGGATGTTCACTTGATGGCCACGTTTTGAGTTGTATTTCACTTGCAATCCATTTTAATGCAAAACACGACAATTACCTTATATTTATGCATATTTAAACAAAGCATTTGCTTTTGAATCAGTGAAACAAGACATTAACCAGCCTCTAAATGAATAGTATGTTGTATCAGGCTTGTTTTCGCCCTCCTGGCATTCAATGTTTACAATGCCAAAATATGAGATTATGCTCTGAGCACTCAACTATCATTTTCATGGTACCATTAAAGCCAAGCCACCTTCATACCAGTTATCTTTTTTTCTCATGCAAGAATTCTCAGTAAGCGGCCTTTTAAAGCTTATCCACATGACCCATTTCTATCATACCATGAAGTGATTCTTGGAGCGTCTTTGTGATCGATCCATGTGGCTATTGGTCTTTTGAAAATCTTGGACACATACAAAGAGTTGAACATGTGGGATGATGGATTGTGGCCATTATTTCTTTCCCTTTGGGATTTCATTGATGCTGCACTTATATTGTCCTGAAGAGAAAAGAATCATCCAATTTTTTTTACTGTATTCTTACTAAATTCTGAAATCACAATAATGAAGGCCTACACCACCAAAATAAATAGAGGGATAGAGAAGAGTGCCTCTCAATATGTTAGCAACTATGGGGTTTTTTATTAAAAAAAAATAAGGACAAGAACAAAATCTCGATATACTACCTATTTAGAACTTTCTAAATGGAAATGTTAAACTGAAAGTAACTGTGAGGAGTTTTTTTCAAATCCAGTGAGGGTTTCTTAAGGAGTGGTTTTACCACTACCTCCTTCAAGCAAGCAGGGACCACCCCTTTTCGCAAGGAGGTATGAATCACCTCCCTGGCCCCAGCCAGCTGTCCTCTTCTTGCTAGTTTTCATCAGCCAAGAGGTTCAAGGGTCCAGAGAGCAAAGAGTCACCCTGACTAATGCAAACACCTTGTCCATATCCTCAAGCCTTACCAACTGAAACCCACCCAACACAACAAGACCAGACAATGCTGTGGACACCCTCTGAGATTCATCTGTTGTAATAGCAGAGTCATCATCCCAGTGGATACAAGTGACTTTATCCTCAGAATGCTTTGCAAAGAAGTCACAGCAAGCTGCCATCAGTTCTGCTACATTCTTCAGGGCAGACTGTAAAAAGCTCCATACCACCCAGAATAGCTTTGTTGGATGGCATAATGAGGGTGCAATGGAGGCAGACTTTGCTGCCTTCAGTGCCACTGGGTAGACTATGATGATCCCTCAACCAGTTTTCAACTGCATCCAACTGGAGTTTTCCTCCACTCATGTTCAAGCCATCTCCCGGCTTGTCTAATTGCCCTAAGCTCTGGAGTATACCAGGGAGCCAAGCTGGCTGCTCATAATGGGAGAGGGCACTCAGGAATAATTGTGTCAATGGTGTGAGCCATTCAAATGTTCCACCCAGGGCAGAAGTGCCAGTCATCACTCAGGAAATCCCTCAGGGCTGCCTGGAAACCAATTGGTTCCATCAGCCAATTGGATCTGTCAGCCATAGAGTTGGGGAAGCATCACAGAACAACTAATTAAGCAGAATAGATCCTCCATTAATATACTATTATTATGTCCAAAGCATGTTGCAGAATGCACCCACAATAAAATACCATGGGGGGGGGGGCTAACAAATACTATGTCATTTGTAATCCTGGCCACCAAATTGTTTATCATGTTTCAAGACTATTTGTGATGAAGACAAATATCACTGGTTCCAGTACAGATCCTGATTATTTCCTTCTTTCAAGAAAACTGTACAGAATAAAAAAATACATTGTAGGTGAATAGGGGTACAGCAAAGAAGAAGACGACAGTAGAAAGTTTTTCCCATTTAACTGAAATGGGGATAAGCTCCCTTTACAAGCACAGTTAAGTTACTCTCAAGCCAAACTTTTAGTTAATGATAACTGGCAGTATTTGCTCACCAGATACACCCCTCTGCTCTAAGAATTCTTCTCTCTTTACTCCTTCCTCCATTAGTGAGTCCAGCAGTGTTAAAGAACTTTATTGCCAAGTAGCGGCTTTTACTACTGAGCTTTACTTCAGTTAAGAAGTTTTCACAGTTATCTATGGGTGGAAATCAAGAGCTGTCATTTCTGCCCTTTATTAAGTTTCTATAGCAAGCACTCGCAGGTGTGAAAATGAAAGGAGCATTCCTTGGTACAGAGGACACAATGAACTGTAAATCTTTTCGCTCCCAGTACATCATTCTCAGGACAACTGGGGGCAAGGAGTCTTTCTCACACACCTCGCTGTGTTGAATATAGACAGGGCTGCTAAAACTGAACTAGCAAACTGGCATTTTTTGAAGGTGGAAACTAGTCTTTCTTTAATAGGTGATGGTGGCGAGATAGAGAATGTGATCATTATCCATGGTGAACATATGAATGGCCTTGGTGCCAGTCAAGCATAGCTTTGAACTCTACACAGATGAAACCAAATTACATATAATAATAGACAACTTTATTTGACCTGGTTTTTAGACTGACCTCTTCTTTTCCCAAGTGAACGTCCTTCAGCACTTCGTAAAAGGTATGCGTGCTTTATATCTGGGTAGGTTTGTACATATTTATAAAGATGCTGTTAAATATTTCAGCAGTTAGGGAATAAAATACAGCAAGAGTTTCCCTGCAGTTCATCAGCTTGCCAAGGGTATGTGGTTCCAGAAGCCCAATAAGGTCATAGACCATTTTTCTGCAGCAAAGCAACTTGTGGACTAGAAAGGTGATGCTGTCACAGAGGCCTAGTCAACACAGCAACAGAAATCAAAGCAAAATAGCCAAACAAGTAAAACTATCTAAGTTCCTGATGATAGACAGAACAGTAGATTGATGATAGTTCTCCACATGAAGCTGCCAGAAAATTGAAATCTTTATCAGAGGCCCTTAGGTGGGTGATTACTGGAGAGAGGCCTCTTATTTTACTGATAGTGCCAAAATTATGGAATTCCCTTAATATGGACTAGGAGTAAGGAATGTTTTTTCAGCCCAAGAGCTGTATTCCCTTCTGGGCAAACTTCCAAGCGCCACATGCCAGGAGTGGATAGGGCCACAGGGAGAAATGGAAGGAGCAAGAACAGCAACATATTGCCTTTATACATAAGGCTGGTTTAGCGGGTCTCAAACTTTTTTTTCTGGGCCCCAATTTCAGAACAAAAATCTGCATTGTATTTTATTTGATAAGAAATGTATTGGAAAACAAAGAGGAAAAAACTCCTAGCAGCGCTTGAGTTATAACAAAGAACACAAGTACTTTATCATATGATCCATGGGACATCCGGAAAATAAAAAACATGCAGCTACATGAATCAATCGCAAAATACAATATTGATTGCTTTGAATCTTCCACCACACTTGTCAGGAGGTCCTACACATGAGTAGGCATCCGGCAGAGACACATGCCCGACTGGCATGTTCTCTCCCTCCTGGTCGGTCGTTCAGGAGCTTCAAAAGCTTTCTCCAGCCCGAACATCACAGTGACTGATACCAAGAGGCATGAGCACACTTTAGGATCAGCAGAGTGTGTGCATTCAGCGTACAGACTCAGTAGTGCAGCATTTTGGCTAAACTACATTTATTTACATATACACACTCAGCGCATCTTAACTCAGCTCCTTTCTCTTCAGCATCAAACAGGAAAGAGAAAGAACAAAGGACCAAAATCCTACATCACAGAAACTCAGTAATACAAACATCCTGTCTCTGTCACTTCCCACAATGTGGAATGAAAACATGCACAGTCATGTGAGAAAAACAATCCCATGACTGCAGCACGGGGAATGAATCCTAACAACTTGCCATCCCCTCCTGCCACACTAGTGTGGCACGCCATGCCCTTTGAGAACCACTGAGCTAGTTTCTACACACACACACACACACACACACACACACACACACACACCTCAATCCTTCATCCAGACAAAAGGAGTAATGATTGGAGTTCAAGGACGCATTCCAGTCGGGCAAAAACAGATGAGATGTGAAACAGAGCCAGTGAAGGGTGTGGCTTGGGAAAAATTCTGAGGGACACATCAAACGGATTGGAGGATGATATGTGGTCCCCAGACCTGGGACTCCCTGCCTCTGCTATACACATATGCCACCTTCACTATAATCTTTTGGTGCCAAGTGAAGTCTATAATTCTGTATCATTCTAAAGGAAGGGTATGTGCACAAATGCCAAGCCCATGGCAGCTAGGGGTGTGACCAGAACACATGTTGGTGCAGAGGGGAGTTTGGCTAGCAGGTTCCCACTACCAGCTCACACATTAGTTGAAAAGGAAGAGCGTCTTTTGAACATCCTTTTAGTTGCACTGGTGTCAGTTTATTTAGTTAGTTGAGAAACCCAGTGCATAAAGACAGAAGATAAAGACATTTGATAAGACACATCAGGAATGGGGAAACAGGAACTGATAAACTGGCATGCAGGAACGGAAGTAGGTGGGAAAGAGGCAACAGCAGAAAGTGTAAGGATGAATGGGAACCCATGAAAGAGGCAAGTGAAAGATGGCGTGTACTTGAAAATAAGATGGGAGCCAGACATGAAGTAGAGAGATGGAGGACTGGAATGGAGGACAGAAAGGGAGCAGACATGTGTAAGGGAGCATGAAATGGAATTGGAAGGCCCATAAGCTTGAAGTGAACAGTTAATAAGCTTGAACTGAAATTAGGTATTGTATTCTGAATTAACTGTGGGCAGCCCTGACATAGCAGATGCCTGGTGTGGTGGGAACATCAATTTACCCAGTTGGTGTGTTCTTTCCAATGGTTTTCTTAAAGGAATAAAGCTGTCATTTCATCCATCCATATTTCCGTCTTTAAAAACTTCACTCTGTTAAGCAATAGAAAACCAGCATATGAAGCTAATGGATCACTTAGCAAAACAGCCTTCTACCTGCAGAGCTAATTTCAAGTTTTAAATTCAGAATGTAATCTACATTTTGTTGGCTATTTGTGTTTTTCACATCCATTTTATGATTTGAGCATGAAACTAATCCTTTTATGACAGCATGTGTTAATTTCATCTGAGCTTTCAGGGACCCTCTCTAAATTATCTCACACAGTGGTCTCTTTTAATTTAAGGATAGAAGGCAGCAAGTCAGAGCCCCAAGCTAGTAAGGAACAAGAGCTACTCAAATATGATACAAAGTGTGCTAGTTTACTGTAGCTCTTAATTGATAATTACAAGCTGCTGAATACGTTGTTTAGATCATTTTGTAAATGTAATGTGTTTTCTTTATCTAAGAAAGTTTAACATAAGCAGGTAAACAAACGTTGCCTCAGCAAATTTGGGTAAGTATTCTTACCAGTCACAGGCACCCAAAGAGGATGGGCATTCTTACATTTTTACTAGAGTTGGATTGAAAATGTATCCCATGCATTCTTTTTCTACCACTCTCCATCAATTTATGAGGAAAGAAATTGCATTTAAAAATTATCAAAGAGGAGAGAAAGTTTCCATGCTATTTTCATGAGTCGAGTATAGGGTGGTGGTGGCTGTTCTTATCTTACTTCGAGTTATGTTTCTGAGTCTCCATGCTTCCATTCTGCAGATCATCTCTCCAGTCATTCATCCCCTGCAGCCTTCCTGGGTGCCAGCACTTTCATGAAAGCCCAGAGGATAATGTCATGAAATCATTCCTCCTATTGGGCTTTTGAAGATCAGGAAAAGTGGGCAGCCAGGAAGGATGCAGAATGTCACAGACATGGAAAGGAAAACATGTACACACACCACCTTCAGTTTCCTTGCAGTCATAAGGTAAGCTCAAAGCCACACATCCATCAAAATTCTAAAAAAAATTCAAAAGTGAGAATGAAACAGAATAATAGAAGCATCTTCCACAGGCAGAAAAAACTTTTGAAAACACAGAGAACACAACACTGGTTTTGACTATCCCCACCAGACAGGTTGAGCCTCCAGAACTGGCATATAAATGCTTTGCATTTATGCTCCTGAAGCAAGAATCATGTATTTGCTATCATGGATAACTATACTGAACAATAACAGGTCAGAGAACAGTATGGGGGACACTTAAAAGATAAATAAAGTTTATTTCTTGCAAAAAATCTTGACCGCACTGCATGACAGTGATTCAGATAGGCACAGAATGGAGAACAATTGTATATGCAATGCACAACAAAGTTACAAAATAACGGTTCCGGAAAACTTTTAAATTGTTGGTATGTATCCAAAATGTTAATGCTAGTACCTAGCAAAGCAGAAATAGTTGCAAAAAATAAATGGGAATGTTTGGCACATACCTCTTGCTCTGTGCTGTTCTTAGTCACTTGTTTTGTACCTCTGTTTTGATTTACTGATAGACAGCCACAGATAATGGCACTATTATACAACTGTGCAAGGAAGTGAAGTAATCCAATTTTCTTCCAATTCCCAATGAATGGCATATTAATCTTTCAGTTCTTGGTTCAGCTGTTTGAGCTTCATTTGATATAATCTGATGTGATTCATATATGGATATGAAAAGTTTAACAAAACATACTGAAAACTCTTGCATGCTACACCATGCTGGCTTTTTTTTTTTTTTTTTTTTTGAGTAGAGAGTAAGCTTTGCCTCTGTTTCCCATTAAAACTGAACATATTTCTGTTGAACCTGCATTAATATATCACACTATAGCAGCTTTCACCAACTGAGTGTCCTCCTCCATTGCTGTGCTGGCCAAGTATGATGGGGAGCTATAGCCAAACACAACTGGAGGGTACCAGGTTGGCAAAGGTATTGGCTATAGTATTGCCAGACAATCTAACAATGGAACAGTTGTGCTTAGAAATGTATATTTCAGTGTTGGTATCTTCAATCAATCAATTATTTTATTTGTACGCTACCTTTCCAAAGTTAAAACCATGCTCAGGGTGGCTTACAACATATAAAAAAAATCACATAACTACAAACATAACAAAGGTAGTCATAAACAATGAACAAAGCATCAAAAAGTACACAACCAATTTGAACAATTTCCACATAAATCATTAGATCCAAAATAAGGCTACAAAAATTTAACAGCAACAGCAGCAACAACGCCCCCCAAACAATACTCCAGACCAAGAGTCTGTTCAGCAGCATCAGTTTTTGTAGCTGGAGTCAGTCAAAGCGTTTGTACAATTTTAATAATTTGGATCTTACTTTCAGTCACTTGTATAGTTTTTGATCTTGAGAAAAGGCATTTAGCCACATATATACCACATTAAAGCCTAGTGCACATGTTGCACCAGAAACTGATAAATCCTAGTCCATGTCACTTAACAAATTTCCATTACAGTGGTACTTCAGGTTACATACACTTCAGGTTACATACGCTTCAGGTTACAGACTCCGCTAACCCAGAAATAGTGCTTCAGGTTAAGAACTTTGCTTCAGGATGAGAACAGAAATCGTGCTCCGGCGGCACGGCAGCAGCAGGAGGCCCCATTAGCTAAAGTGGTGCTTCAGGTTAAGAACAGTTTCAGGTTAAGAACGGATCTACGGAACGAATTAAGTACTTAACTCAAGGTACCACTTTACAGTTATTCAGGTAAATGCTTGAGGATGAAAACAGCAAGTGTTAATGTTTACCTAATGGCTTGTGACCCAGGTACCTGAGAGAGCACCTACCTTCCACAAGTGCCTGCCCAAGTATGGAGGTCATCACTGGAGGTTTTATTTTTATTTTGAATGGCCCACCTTCTAAAGTCAGGTGGCTGGCAACCAGGGAAAGGGACTTTTTCCATTCCGCTGACTCACCTTTAGAACTCTCCTCAGGGAGCCTTTCCAGGTCAGCACCACCTTTGATACCTTTTTTGCAGCATGTGTAGATCTCCTCCTCCTCCTGAGCTGGATCTCTCTTCCTGCTGTGATGCCCCTTTTACATAAACAGCAAGTTTAGCCACATTGGCCCATATGAAACATTCCAAAAAAACCATATAAGGAAAATATCCTTATTTCCTATTTTCTGACATTTTGGTTGGTCAAACAAATATTGCCTTAATACCTCATATGTGTTTTATTTTGTTGAAATGTGCTGTTTGATCATTTTAATTGCTGTCATAAATTGTTAGCTGCCTTGAAAATAGAAATCCTGAAGGAAAAACAATGCATGTTGAAACTAAATAATTTCAAACCTTCACAAGCTGCGGTTTCCCCTCTTCCAACTATCTGTACAATGGACTTCATCTTTAATTGACATGTCAGTTGGATTGTTTTCTAGTTCTTTGACCCTGTTCTTTTGCCGGTTGCCAAGACTACCCTGCAGAAGTAGAGGGTGTGAAAACACCCATGTAAACAGAGTGACCGTTGCTAAATTAAATTGCTATGGTGAGAATGCAGTATTTGTGTAATTAATTTGTACTTTAATTGCTGTGCAATATGAATATCAGCAGTGTTTTCTGTGTACTATGATAGCTCCTTTGGGACTTGATGAAGATTGGGGCGGTTCCTGTTTAGACATCTTAAAACAAGGCTACTATTTGATTATCATCTACAGATTGGTGTAAAGAGTGAGAAGCAATAAAGGACTCAAAGAGTAATAAGACTGTGCATCTTCATCCAGTGTGACTAACTTTTTAGCCTAAAAGTGTGACCACTCCACATAAACATGCATACACACAACATATACACACAGCCTCCTCTCCACTCTCCACTCATTTGCATCCACATAAAGGTGCCGTGCTGCCAAAAATTGTGGCTTTTAGGGTGGGCATTAAAAAATTGCTATGGGGCCATACCAGGCCCTCAAAGCAGGGGTTAGCCACCCCCCAATCTACCTGGACATACTAAGCAAGCAGCTTGCAGTCATTCTCAACCTTGGGTCCCCAGATGTTGTTGGACTACAACTGCCATCATCCACAGCCTGCAGAAGTAGCAGTCAGGAATGATGGGTATGGTAGTCCAACATCATCTGGGAACCCAAGGCTGACCTAGAGGCTTCATTTGAGCCCCTGGAAAACAGGGACACTTGGAGGGTGTGATAAAAGCTGAAATGGTGGTTTTGAGTTTTTTAGAAAATCATATCCAAGATGCAAATGGAAAGTAAGAAAGGTAGTAACCAAACTCCTATAGATATAGCACTCCTCCTAGCCAGGTGTGCTACTGGGATGAATTAGAGGGGAGGCAGCCACACATCATATTAGGCATGTCACTCCACCCTTAAATGTGGTTATTCCCCCCCCTTTTTTTTTAGAAGTAGTCAGTATGGATACTGATCTGGATTGGGATCCTCATATGTGAGGCAGGAGAACTTGAACTCTCTTCCCTGTGCAGTGGACCCAGTCTGAACTGGGGAAGCTAGAACATCTGCAGCAGTTGTTCCCAACCTTTTTATTGGCCATGCCCCACCTAAGCATCTCCAAAATCCTGATTCCCACCCCCCACCCCGTGACATATAATTCTTATTATTCAAAAAGCTAGCTCCTATTCAGGTGGAGGAAGCCGAAAAGGCCATAAACAAGCTTCCAAATTGCCCCCTTTAAAAATCAAATTGTCCCCCTGTGGGGGCGTGTGTCCCACGATGGGAACCATGGATCTACAGTTTGCTTTGCGGTGATCTTTCATTATACAGTGGTACCTCGGATTACATATGCTTCAGGTTACAGACACTTCAGGTTACAGACTCCACTAACCCAGAAATATTACCTCGGATTAAGAACTTTGCTTCAGGATGAGAACAAAAATCGTGCAGTGGCAGGCCCCATTAGCTAAAGTGGTACCTCAGGTTATGAACAGTTTCAGGTTAAGAAAAGACCTCCAGAACAAATTAAGGACTTAACCCAAGGTACCACTGTAATGCAAACTGCAGGCCAAGAAAGCAATGAGTTGATGTGCCTCTTCTCCCCACACTAGGGGGTCCAAACCACTCCTCCCCCATGCTGGTTGTTTGTAAACATAAACAACAAGACCCTGCATAGGGCAGTGGCATGACTTGGAGGAACTTGATTTTGCAAGCACAAGATGCAGGATGCAGGATGAAAACCCAGGAGATGGGATTAAACTTCACTGAAGGAAGGCAAACAATGTGAGACAGATGGTCTTTCTTTTTTAAAAAAAAACAACAACCCAGCCTTATTGTAATAAGACACACCAGGCTCTATAATTCCTGGCAGTTTCAGCAGAATTATACACAGCAGTTGGAAGGCACCAGGCTTTGGGCCAAGAAAACCTAACCACCCAGGAAGTGAAATAATCACTGTGAAATGTATGACTTGAAAGGTTTTCTTTCACAGTATATTGTAGGCAACGTACATAAAGAGAAGGTTGCATATGGCATTATAGGCATGGGACCAGATGCTCTACTTCCAGCAGTCTTTAGACACGTAGATTAGAATGACTAAGAAATAATGCCTTTAATTTTACTTCTTTGATGTGACTGGAACACACAATTACCCAATCTATGTGACACATGTAACTGACACTTAACGTCTATATGATAACTGACACATTTCTTCTTTAGATGCCTTCATGATTTAATTTCTAATCTCAATGGCACTCTGGGCATTTTGTTATGTTTCCCTTTGTTTAATTATTTTTGGAACCCAGTTTTTGAGACCTGCTTACAGGAATTCTGTGGTGGATTCTGCTCCTGTTCTGAAAAGAATCAAGTGTAAACATACTGGGGTTTTATGGGCACTCTATTTGTCTGAGATTCTGTACTGTAGTATTAAAGCAGCTGCTAATAACCTCTGTGTGCATAGCTGAATGCATTTTCTTTCATTTCTGAGTGCTTCTTAAGGTTATACGTGTGAAAAATGCTTTTATTGGTGAACTGCCTGCGATTAGAGCTTTTTTTTGTTGTTCCACAGGTTAAAAAAGCCTTGCATATAACCTGAAAAGATGGACTGAGGTTCCTGCTGTGCAAACCAAAGGTTAGATTGATGAGCACCCCAACCCTTTGATCTTCTCATCGCCTTCCAGCTGCTGGTTAGATTGTCTCTTCGGGGATAATGAACTCCCTCTCTACTAGAGGTTTTTGTGACAGTTATTACTTCATGGCCAGAAGATTTCTTCTGCTCAGTGGCTTGTTGGGTAGAGGCAAAGCACATATGCCTTTATTTTAAAAGGTGATGCAGTCGAAATAATATTTGCACCAAACACAACATAAAGGCTGAAGCAGCTAGCTAGGCAGCTGCCCAGCAACCAGATCACTGTTGTTTGCCAAGAGGGAAAGGGGCAAGGTGGTGGGGAGGCAGGCAGGGTGCAAATGCACACGTGGAGCCAATCTGGTGCTCCAGTCTTGCCAGTGTGTTTGCTCTGTACCAACCGGCAGAGCTTTGCTGGGTTGTACGGGGCCTTTTACAGGCAGGCCCAAAGGAGGTGGGAGAACCAATGGTAGCTCACTGTGACTGGTTTGCAAGGCATTTTGAGGATAAAATTGCTTGCATCCACCAACACCTCGACTCTGCTGTTAGTAAAACCTGGCTCATAAGTCACGTTGGATTTAACCACTTTCATTTACACATTCCCTTTAGACTCTTCACACTGTTTTCTTTGCTATAGCCTGGTTCAAGTGACTAACTTGGCAGACATTTTTATATTCTTACTACAAACTGTTTTCTCCCTAGGGTTGAGGACTGGGGATATCAGCTGCCTCATCCTGGCCGATGTACATTGTGGTTAGATGGCACTTGTCTTTTCAAGTTCCAACAATATAACCACTTTAAGGTTAACACAGGTTAACAAGTGAGATTTAAAACAGACTTTTATATCGATTCACTTAATGACCTTGAACTGAAAATATACCAATTAGACTGTCTTGGAGCTATTTATTTTCTGCTCCAATGCACACAGCTAAATAGTCACAGCTTCATAACGGTTTAAATTTTTTTTTACTTTTGCTGATAAAGTATGAGACTTCTGCCAACAAGGCACTTCAATGCGACTATGAAAAATTAAAGATCTAAAGCAGCTGATAATTTATTGTGATTAATTGTTTCAAAAGTTGAAGAACTCAAAAGGATGGGGAACAGTAAATAATGCTTTTTGTCCTCTCTTTTCCATGACAGAAACAGAACTTGTGAACCTCCATTTTCCAGACCTAATTCTAATGCTCTGCAAGTTATAAAGTACCTGCCCTGCATTTAACTACAGTTTCTACTGGCTCATCACTGGAATCCTGAATTTCTGAAAAGTAAACCTGTATTGCAAGGGCTTGTCATCTTACATGCACCATTTGCATTTTAGGTGTTCCTTTAAAGGATTATAGGTGCATATGTTCACAGATGTGAAACATTTATTGGAAGTATTATACATGTATCAGGGTGGTTATATTACAGATACTGCTGGTATATTTTTGAACCTTTTGTTTCATTCTCATTTAGTTTTTGTTTGGTAGAATTTTTAACTGCATGTTGTTGTTGTTTAGTCGTTTAGTTGTGTCCAACTCTGCATGACCCCATGGACCAGAGCACGCCAGGCACTCCTGTCTTCCACTGCCTCACGCAGTTTGGTCAAACTCATGCTGGTAGCTTCGAGAACACTGTCCAACCAACATCATAATTTTTATATGCCTGTTGTCTTTGTCCATGAAGTTTTCTTGGTAGGGATATTGGAGTGGCTTGCCGGTTCCTCCTCCAGGTGGATCACGTTGAGTCAAAACTCTCCACTATGACCTGTACATCTTGGCTGGCCCTGCACAGCATAGCTCATAGTTTCTCTGAGTTGTTCCAGCTCCTTCACCACAGCAAGGCAGTGATCCATGAAGGAGTTTAACTGTGTAATCCTCTTTTAAATATATCCAAGTTGGTGGTTGTCACTACTTCATATGGGAGCTAATTCCATAATTTAACTATGTGCTGGGGGGGGAGTGCTTTCTTGTGATCATAGAATCCTAGAGTTGGAAGGGACCTTGAGGGTCATGTAGTCCAAATCCCTGCCCAAGGTGAGATTCAGAATCTCATGCTCTACCGTCTGAGCGATCCTGTCCTGAATCTTCCAACCTTCATTGGATGACCCCAGATTCCATTGTTATGGGATAGGGAGAAAAATGACTGTGTTCACTTTTCCAACACCATGTGTGGTTTTATGTACTTCTGCACTAACAAAATAATTATGGCCTATGTTTTAGTGGATAGAGGTCACTTCATCAGATGCAAGAAGTGCAGCCCTCGGTAGGCAAGTATTTTGTTAAATGCCATGCCCATAAAAGAGAGCAGCATTTCCTTCCCATTTATGGCCTCCCCAAAAGTGTCTTAAGAAATGCCACTGTAAAAGTATTGTTCAGATATTCCTGCAGCACAGAGTGAAAAATATATTCATGGTTTATTATGTGTGTACAGTTTGTCCCTTACATTTCATCTCCACAGAAACCTCACTTATCACGTCTACTTCTTAAAAGCAGTTCCATTTCTCTACTTCAGGCTTCCAATATTTGTGCTCTATTACGCTTTTGCCTGCTTTCCAGATGGAACTTGTCGGTCATTATGAACAGCCTGTTAAATCTCTTGCCTATAGCAACTTTTAGCCATCATTTTTGAACCAAACAAAGGGGACTCCCTTATCACAGCACTCCATCCGGGACTTGGCTATAGAAATGAGGGAACGTAGAACATAACAAAGCCCTTCTGGTCTGAAGCTCTGCTCTTTTCCATGGCAGGTTGCATGGAATAATTTAGTGGGTGGTGAACTGAAAGCTAATAGTGTTCCTTTCTGCAGTCAGTGCCTCACCTTCTGCAGTCAATACTTCATCATAGCAGAGAAAGTTCCAATAGATAATAGCTGCATGCCTATTAGTACTGAATATGAACATTCAAAGAACTGAACCCCACATAAGTCTGTTGTTGCAAAAACAACAAATGTTCTTGTAGCTCTTTACAGAAATACAGATCTATTGTGGCATCCATGGTAATACACTGGAGCCCACATCATCAGATAGCGCAGATGTATCTGATGAAGTGGGCTCTAGTCCATGAAAGCTTATGCCACATTAAATCTGTTATCCTTAAGATGCCACAGGACACCGTATACTTACAGATGAAGAGTTTCCAAGTTTTTAATTAAAATTTGTATAATTGCCACAGAATTTGCATTCTGCACACTCCAAGAACTGTCAAAAGTTCTTAGAGAATTGTTTTGAATTTGAATACTGTAACATTACTGCTGGAAGTCTCAGAACTTCTCGTTTCAGCAACCTTGAAGTATGTTCAGAATGAAGATGCATAATATCCTAGCTCTATAACAAGCCCCAGTCAATATATATCTCTTTATATGCCCATGGATGCACGTTGAACACCCACAACAAAACCAAAAACACATTCTGGCATATGGGAACCAAAAATGCTGGAAAACAGTGCAGATTCATAAACAAAGTGCCACCCTGGGACAATACAGTGGTACCTCGGGTTACAGACACTTCAGGTTAAGAGACTCTTTGGGTTACAAACTCCTCTAACCAGGAAGTGGTTGCTCTAGGTTAAGAACTTTGCCCCAGGATAAGAATGGAAATTGTGCGCCAGTGGCACAGCAGCGGCAGGAGGCCCCATTAGCAAAAACACACCTCAGGTTAAGAACCGTTTCTTAATTCTGGAATGAATTAAGTTATTAACCCAAGGTACCACTGTAGTTTGGCTCCATAAAGTTCATTGCCACTGTGATCTCCTGCACATGAAGAAACTGATTGCTGCTCTACAAGACTATATCTGACCCCCACCCCCATACACAGAGTGGGAGCTGGTAAAGGAAACCGTGAAGAAGGCACAAATCTTTTCACTGACCCTGGGAAGAAGGGTGGGTTAGAGTTGTCTATAGAACATTTTAACAGCTAAGTTTTATACATATCTAATAAGAAGAATAGGAACCACTTCCAGGTTCATGTGCACAGCAAGGAAAAGGAACCTAAGGCCCAGGGGCCAAATGACTTCTCTCTTTACCTGGTCCTTAGGAGTCTCCCTAGGGCACTTTCTCCACAACCACATTCTGCACTGGCCCCATCTCATGTGCCCCTTGAGCATTTTTGCCTGGCTGGAATGGATCACTGAACTCTGTTTATACTTCCTAGTTTCCTGGATGGGGGATAGAGAGGTTTGTGTACATAGGAATAGAACTACTGTGCAACGCTAAAAATTGCATCCATTGTTTAATACACTTTTGTCTCTGGCTCCTGCCCAGAACTGGCATGTGGCCCAAGAGAGTTGCCCAGACAGGAATAGGGCCTTCTGTCTAAAAAAGGTACTCTGTCCTTGTTATATATTACATACCTTCCAAAATTTCTCCAATGAAAATAGGGACATACAATTCAATGTTTTATTGTACCCCGCCCATCTGATTGGGTTGCACTTGCCATTTTTGGTGGCTTCCAATATATATAAAAACATAGCAAAACACTAAACATTAAAAAAACTGGGCTGCCTTCAGGTGGCTCGGGGCTTGGATAACTCAATGCCCTCCAGCATTTCTCCAAAGAAAATAGGGACAACCTAAGGAAAAGCAGGACATTCCAGAATCAAATCAGAAACCAGGATGGCTTCTGTAAATCCAAGACTGTCTCTGGAAAATAGGAACAGTTGGAGGGTCGGATAGGATTGCAGCTTTAGTATTGGTCAGACTAAGATCAATCCCCATTCTGCTTTCAAATGTGTGTGAAAGATGCCGGGGTTGGACCAGGATTCCAGTGTTCTGACTCTGGATCTGGGGCCAGCGGTACCCAAAACAAGGCATGCTTAGTTCCTAGAGCCCAGATGAAGATGGAATGAAGATCTGAAGCATTGGCCTCTGTTACGCATACTCCTAGCTTCAGCCTTCATAGCTGTTGCATAGTCCAGGCATGTATAAGACTGCAGGATGCATCATGTCTTTATATTAGATTGTCAGAACTAAAACATTGTGCTAGTTAACTTGTGAGATAACTTCATTTATTTCCTGAGCTCCCCAGACAGATATACCATAAATTGCTGTTATAGGAAGGTAAATTATAGTCGCTCTATAGCCTTGTGATTTGCATTAAGTAATATATCTTTAGTCGTCAGATCAATACCATTACAGAATTCTAAGCTGTGGCTTTCAGCAAATAATTCCCATGTCAGAGATGCAATTAATTGATTGTTGTTGTATGTGGGGTTATATATATATATATATATATATATATATATATATAGTCTCATATTTTACATGCACTTATTAAATGAAGATAGGGAAACAAAAGCCCCCTGATGTGAAGCTATTGCAATTACCCTCAAGTAATTTGCCATTTAAGATGTAGCCCTTTACAGGATTATACTTACAAGATAAAAATGACACTATCAAGGATTTCAATGCATACAGAATGCATGTTAGGGTCCAGCTTATTAGGAAGTGAACATTGTTATTAGCTCATTGGCGGGGAGAACAGGGGACACATTTTTTTCTAAAAGGATTACATTTCTATATAATGAGCCAAGCCTATTGAAGAATAATAACAGTTGACTCAAAAGGATGTTTTAGTAAAACTGAATCCTTTTTTTTAACCATTTTGTTGTTGTCTTTTCTGTAATAACAAAAACAGTGTAGTTTGTTCCAGGATGGTGTTTTAATTCATTATTGAGAGAGTCTATGCTGCTATTTGATTTCAATAGTATGAGTGTTGGATTAGGGCAATGGTTGCTGTTTCTTTATTCTCAAATGCTAAAATGCCAATAATATGTGAGCAACCAGGAAAGTGCTGCTACTGTACAACTTTTGCCCATTTCCTAAAACCTTGGTGAAAAACGGTACAGGCCCACAGGGAGAGAGGTCAATAACATGCCGATATAGTGTTTTAATGTGTGATGTTTTTGTGCTTATATTCTCAGCATTCCATCACACAAATTTTTAATCTTGGTGCTTATGCAGCATCTGGCTGTACTTGGGGGAATAGATGCAGCTGAGCTAGCAGAAATCCAAACAAAGTTGAAGGTTTCATAGTTATCAGAGCAGTCACTGGGGAGAAGGTGCTAGGGCAGCTTGAGGAATAGCCTTATATGACTATTCCTGGTGGTAATTCAGAGGCTGCAGCTGTTACGAAAGGTATGGTCACTCCTCTAGAGTAGTGGAACCATTACAGTAGTGCCTTGGAGCACTCAGATGGATGTCTAAACAAAAGTGAATGTGCTAGTTTTGATCTTTAAACATAAAACCATGGAAACTGGTTCTTCGGATTACAGTGGTACCTCGGGTTACAAACGCTTCAGGTTACCAACTCCGCTAACCCGGAAGTAGTACCTCAGGTTGAGAACTTTGCCCCAGAATGAGAACGGAAATCGCACACCGGCGGCGTGGGGGCAGCAGGAGGCCCCATTGGTGAAAGTGCACCTCAGGTTAAGAACAGTTTCTGGTTAAGAACGGACCTCCAGAATGAATTAAGTTCATAACCCGAGCTACCACTGTATTCTGGCCAATGGAAGCTGCCTTTGTTATATGGTCATCTGGAAATATCTCTCTCTGGAGATTTGCCAAAGTGTAAGAGGCATTTTCTTGAAGCACTATAAGACATATATTGTCAAATTCACTCAGCATTGGCATGGTGATATATCAGCTTTGTACAGTTGATATTTTAGTATTGTGTTTATCCAACCTCAAGCATTGCTGGTAGAAAAGAATGACACTCCAATATCTGATCTGTATCATAAACACTGTTGCTGATAGTTTGTCCTTGAAATGGGTTAGCATATATTTCTATTTTTATATATATAGAAACTTAAAACAAAAACAACCAAGTCATTTCCAGAAATGAAGCCACCTCCAGGGGTGCAGACGTAGCTGTGTAGTTTGGACAAGGGGAAGGCGACAGGGACTGGGGTTCCCTGATCATTCAGCCAAAGCGGGCATTCTTTTGCATAAAGCCAGGAGTGGTTCACTCAGGGCGGAACCTAAGCAGCAGCTTCCCAGAAACAGTCTCTACCGCTTATCAGGAGCATGAAGGGAGGCGATGTATTGGTGCACCAGTGGAGGTCCAACTCCCAAGCACATTAAACCAAAATCAGTGAAAATAATTCAAAGCAAATATACTCATGACCAGACCGCTTGCAATGGGCCAACACATATTCATTTTCAGCACAGAAAGCGAAAGAAAGAAAGAAAGAAAGAAAGAAAGAAAGAAAGAAAGAAAGAAGACTTTGTGCCCTCTGCATTAACTTTTTCCAAGACAGAATGGGATCCGAAAAAGGACAGCAAAGTGCATAACTACCCAAAGGTTTAATTAACATCCTACAAAAAGAGAAAAGGAAATGAATATTTAATCATTCTCACAGCAATAAAAAAAATGGCAGACATGCTGAAAAGCTATAACTTGGAATAAAGCTCCTCATTTTCCCCAAGGCCTCAGCTTACTCTTTATCTCACAGTGTAAAGTTTTATGGCATCCAATAGATGGTTGTTCAGGTCAAAGGATGAATTCAGACAGCAATTGGACACCAGTGGAGTTGCGGTAATTACAGTACCTCTTATGTGTCTGCCTTTCACACAAAAATGTCAAAAACCTGATTGGAAAGTTATTGAATTCTACTTTGTTCATTAAAACTGAGTTTCTGACAGGCAGATGAAAGCCTCCTAAAGTTATTCTGAAATTGATTTTTCTAATAGTTAAAAGTATCTCTAGATAGCTAGCATTATAAGAGTACAAAATAAAGTTCTCATTTTACCTTTTTTTTTTTTTTTACGTAAGTGCGTATGATGGTGTCATTTGCTCTCATGACAACTCACATTCCTAAAGATGGCAGAGTCCCACGATGGAGACGTATGCAGCCAGAGTGGGCAGTAGACATGAAATGGTAGAGCAGCCTTTGCCAACATGGTGACCTGTAGATGTACAACTCCCATCAGCTCAAGCCAGCACAGGTGATGGGAATTGTTGTCCAAAGCATTTGGAGAGCATTGGGTTTGGGATGGTTGTGCTGTAGGATGTAGAATTCATCCAGTGCTGTTGGTTTTTCTGTTGCCTTTGAAATCATAACAGCAATATTGGAATATCCAACAGTGGAAGTGCAATTTGTCGAAATTGCTTTGCCCAATGTCTGCAGCTAATTTTAGAAATGCAAACAATACTTGCTAACATCGGAGAACTGCACTCAACAGGGGACAAGCGAATCAAACAAAATGGATCTGGTTTAAATAGCCACCTTATTTGCCAACTGTTGAAGACTTTGCTGAAATGCTTGAAGTAAACATATAGTACAACAGAAGAAAACAAGCCTCAGGTTGAAGAAGCAAAGGCAAACGCTCACTGCTGCATATGGTATATCATTACCGTTCTAAATTTAATGAAGTTTTAAAGCCTTGCGTTTCACATCACAGTTGGTACTGATATGCATTTTACTGTTATTGCTGTTCATTTGCCAAGTGAAAATAATTGATGGTCTTTGCTTAGTGAATTTCCCCATTTCATCTGCTTCTAACTGCCATGTCTATTATTTTCCTGCATGCGTTTGTGCTTTTAGATATGTAAATTGTACGGTAGGTCAGATAACTTTCTATTGGGCTTGAATCATTAAATCAGCAAAGGTCAGGAACAGCCACCCTTTCTCTCCTTGCCTTATAATAATTCATGAGTTCTTGTGTTGTTTCTTTGACATCAGTAAGGATCAGCTGTAGAACCACTGTTGTTCCTCCAGGTAAACAAGTCCTATAGGACACCATTCCATAATAAAATCAGTTCACTCTCATCTATCACTGCATTGCTTGACATATGTACACTGTTCAATCCATTCTGTTATCAGCTCATTCCAGTCAATGGAATGAGATGAGATACTTCATTACTGGCGAGAATAGAATGGTACATAAAATATTGTTACCACTCCCAATCTCTGCAGCGCTGTGGCAAGATTCCAGGTGAGAGGAAGGTTTCCAGGCATTCATCCAGGCTCTGTGTTTCTTTGAGAATCAAGACGCAGTCAGAAGCTTTAAGAAATATTGTTTATTCACATATTTACACCTGAGTTTAGAAAGAGGGAGTCCAGATCTTACAGCATTGGCATCTCAAGAGTAACTTGCTCTGTGCAGCAGCTCAACAATGCAGACAGAATCATCCCAGGTGCCATCTGTCAGTGACTGGCTGGACATTGAGGATTGGTGGCTGATAAGTGGGCAGTGGAAGAAGTAGGGTTTGAGACTGACTTAGAAGAAAGGATCAGTGATCTGGGGGGAGCCTGTAATAGCCAGGAAATGAGAGGCAGAGACAGGAGACGCTGCAGGATTGGAGAGTGAAGAACAGGTGCAGGAGGTAGGTCATAATGCTGTACAGTCAAGGGCTTTCAGCTCCCCCAGGTCCAGGCAAGAATTTAAGCAGAAGGAGCAGAAGCAGGTTGCACGTACTCAGTCTTCTCCTGCTAGCACGCAGCTCAGGTGGGGAAGACACATAAGCTGAGATTATGGGCAGGACCTTTGTTGCTGCAACACCCTCATCAGGTGCACACCCTCATCAGTAGCTCATCAGGTACAACACCCTCATCAGTAGCTAAAAGAAATAAGACTGATAGACATGCCTTTTCCTAACTTGTCTCCTTTTGACAATAAAGAGTTAAATCCTCACTCTGGACTTTCCTTGCCTGACAGCACTGTGATATCTCTGTGCCCCTCCCTCAGCCTGCCAAGGTGGTTCTGACCCATGGCCTTCCAGCAGCACTTGCAGAGGACTCCCCATTCTGTCTGCTTGCCCCTCCCCATTCTAATCCTCCGGCAAAAGCCCAAAAATCTTCCTATCCCATCACACCCAGTTATCCGGGCGACCTTGCCATTGTCTTCCAAACTACCCAGCCAGTTACTGGCCACCACACAGCCTTAGTTATGCTGGAGGATTCTCTCCCTGTCCTTTTCAGGTTAATTACTCCTTGATGGCCTTTCTGCCAAGTGACTTCCTGGTTCCAGAAAACTGGGCTCACCTATTTTTTTGCACTTTGCTAATCCAACATTTGCTGGCTCCAAGCATTTATTGCTTTAAGAACTCTGGAGAATCTGCACTCCCCCTTATATGAATCATTGAGAACAGCAGATACTAATTTTGAAATGGAAGCAGGCAATCCAGCAAATTATATTAAAAGCAAAAGCAAGTCATTAGATTGTTAAGCAAAAGGAGACAGACTAAAAATACTGAGCATAGAAGACAGTGATGACAAACAGGTAAGACCCCCCTCCCCGACCTCACCAGGATCAGTTATGCTCTTGTGTGCCAGTTAATACTGCGAGAAGAGTCCGTTTCTGGTTTTGTGGAGAGTTGGCATGGAGTTCGATCCGAATTGAATTGGCTGCACTTAGCCCCCACTGAAACCAAAGGACTCAACTCCTGGTGAACTTGTCTCTTTAAGCCCACTAACAGCCTGAAAGATGGATGAGAGATGCTGAAGGAGGAAGAGGAAATTGGGATAAATTTGATTACCTAGAACTTACAGCCACAAATTGTACTTGTTCATAATAGATGAGCAGAGGGTGGCAGGTAAGTTGATCTTTTTCCATGATTCATCATTATATATTGTTGTCCACCTTTCAGTCTGCTTCTATTTCTCATGTATGGAAAAGATTTTCTCATAGTTACTTTTCTGTTGGTGTCATCTATACAAATAAAATTCAACAAAAAATATTCCTGGACTTTCTCATTTAAATTATCAGTTGCTTTACACAAGTTGGTCAAAACAACTTACCAAATAACTGTAGAATATAGTGCATATTTTTAAAAAAAAAATTACACAAAATAGAGCTGGACAGACCATAACAACAATCCCTCCATCCCATTCACCTTCTCATAGAATAACCTCCCCAGATACTTCCAGCTCCACAACTCAAATGCCTGGGAGAAATGTCTTCACCTTGTGTAAAAAAAAAGAAGTAGTAGTAGTTGTCAATTGTGATGTCCAGCAGATCTCCCTGGAGAGAGAGTTCCTTAAAAAGGGGGCCACTACTGAAAAGGCTCATTCTCCTGTTGCGGCTCTCTGGACTACTGCTCAAGGAGGCACAGCGAGAAGAGTCTCAACCAAGATCCCACGGGTATCAGTGGGACAAGGTCAGCCAAGTTAGTCATGACAGTCCCGTTGGTTTCAAGGAGAAATAAATTCAACTGACAGAATTCAGCTTACTGGATGTCCAGCCAATGCATATTGAATTTGAATCAACATCTAGTGCAACAGTGTGTGTGTGTGTGTATTCATGGCTCTGATCAATTAGCGGTATCATTAGAACTATGCATATAAGCAATTATTATACAAGTTGCTCTGTCATGCCTTTGCTGAAAGCAATTTTGAAAATGGCTCAGGAAAAAAACCCCCATGAAGGTATTAATTCTTGGGAAATCACAGAGAAGCTGTCAAACATATTTCAGTAAGCAGTAAATGAACCCTGCTTGCACCATAAATCATTAATGTTTAATCACCAGCCAATGCCTCAGTAAGCTCACTGGCATGGAAAATCTCAGATACTCAAAGGATAATTCTAGCAAATCTGGCATGCATGGCTGACTTGTGTGCTTAATTACTGTTTATGCACCAGTAGTATCCAAGCATTTGTATGTAATAAATAGAACACTGTCATTGTGTCCAGATGGTTTTAGATTCAAGGCCCAGGGAGTATGTTAGATGATTACAGGCCTGATTTACCAACAGTTCCCACCAGCTTGATTGCTGAAAAATCATACAAATGTCGCAGAATTCATAGACAACCACAGTGTGAAATAAATGTATCATTTTTAACGTATTCTAATCTTACGTTGAATCATTCTTTAGAGCAGGCATCACAGTTTCTAAGCTTGGAGCAAATAAGGATTCTCTCAAGAGTCCTGGTCTTGAGATGGGTGGACAAATATATAGATTTATATATGGAGATATAGATATATATATGTAGGTAGAGATAGATAACAGGGACAAGTGGAACTTGCAATAAAATGTGACAGTGTTGTCTGCTCTTGTTCCCTGTTCTAGTCAGCCAGCCAGCCAGCCAGCCATATGGTCCTTTGGGTTACTCCATTCCATTCTCCCTCACCCCCATTTTCAATTCCGCACTTCCAAAAGACACTTAACATTCAATAGTGACTGAGTGTGCTCAACTGTTTTGTAAACCACCACCGCCCCTCCCCCTGGTCTTTTTTATAAGGTTTTTATGTACTCATGTAAGCTCAGGATCACCCTTAGCTTGCGGATACCTCCTTGATACAAGATTTTCTTTATATAGTGGTACCTCAGTTTAAGAACAGCCCTGTCTACGAACGATTGGGTTTGCGAACTCCGCAAAACCGGAAGTAGTGTCCTGGTTTGTGAACTTTACCTCAGTCTAAGAATGGAAGCTGAACGGTGGAAGGGCACCCGCGGCGGGAGGCCTCATTAGGGAAAGTGCGCCTTGGTTTAAGAATGGTTTCATTTTAAGAATGGACTTCTGGAAAGGATTAAGTTCGTAAACTGAGGTAATACCACTGTATGTATATACAAAATGAGCATGATAATGTTTTAAAGCATTCACATTTCAACAGATCTTGCTCCCCTGCTTAGTTCTCTAAAGAGCTGTCCAATGCCATCAAACCGAATTCTTCCAGAGAGCAAGCCAAGCCAGTATCTTTCAGTCCCAATTCTAAAACAGATGGTCTTTTGCCCTCTTTCACACACAGATACATTGATAACCTCATATCCAGCCAGGGAAGTCTGGATGTGTGGGCATCTTATTTAAGTCCCATCTTATCTATTTAGCACTTTGTTATAGTTGTCTTTGCTCACCATTCTGAAGTGTCTCCAGCTATTTTCTGTGGCAACTCATGATTTAGTTCACCCCTGTCACAATCCAATCTCCTATTCAAATTGCAAGTTCTACATATATTTAGGCAAATGGAGAATTTTTATTGGTTGACAGAATTACTGTGCCTGCTCTGCAATTCAACAGTTAAACATTGCTACAAGCATCCTGAACTGCACTTAAGCACACTCCCCAAATATATTTACTTTCAGAAATATGGCTTGAGGCTTTCATTCTAATCTGTATGTTATCTTACATTTCGATAAGGTATATCAGAAGAAGTGCAATGTATTCATGTTTCCTTGTGTCACTGCTTTTATATTCTAGCAAAAAATGGAGATAGTTGCACGAGTGTTGTCAAGAAGATTTATTGGGAGAAAAAAATCTTACTGTATTTTTTGAACTTATGAAAACAATTTATGTAGAAATAAGTACTTCAATTAGCCACACAAAGGGAAGAGGGTCCATGGTAACTTGAATTTTCTGTTTGAGCAACACAATAAACTAAAAATAGTAATGCGTGAATCTGTAGTTAATAACATTACAATTATTCTCTCTTTTATCAGCTTCACAAAGAGGTTATTTAACAATCCTTGGCATTTAGAAGACTGGAGAGACTGCTGGATGAAAGTATGGATGGAGCTAAGAGATACCAATATTTTAGACTTAGAAGGGTTTGACCTATGCTTTGGATGGCATTACGACAAAGCAAGGGTACACAAAGGATTTCAAAATCACGCTATAAGAAGAAACATAAACACTGTTTGACAGAGGCATAAAGACCTATTAGAGAGAAAAACCCCAAGATGACTACCACCAATCGAGGCGGGGTCAGTGAAAAGGTTGAATATGGATCACAGATGGGCTACCTACAAGGATTTTATAGAGTTTAAAGAGAGAAGGGTCCATCTGAAAAAAAGAGAATTATACTATAGATTGGTTTCAGTACTTCCAGGTGAATGAGTTATTTAAAAGAGATAAAGAAAAGGGATTTAGGGGAACAAGTTTGGAATCTGAAAAAATTGTAATAGGAAAGGATGAGAAACTAATTTATAAGATTTATAAACTATTATTGGAGTGGGAGACTAAAGACGAAATAGTAAAGGCAACAATGATTAAATGGGCTCTAGATATTGGTTATAATATAGAAATGCCAGCATAGGAAAAACTATGGGGGGAAACTGAACTTCTCTGTCTACTACCTTAAGGAAAATTTACAAAATATGATGTACTAGTGGTACCTGACACCCAGCAAACTGGTATATGCGAAAAAATGGAAAGAAAAAAATACCCACAAAAGAAATTTGGCAGAATAAATTGATAGAATACACATAATTAGTAACTATTACTGTGAAACTAAGAAACAAGGATGAGTCACGGATAAGAGATGAGTGGAAGTGTTTGGGAGAGCATCTTAGAGGGTATAATAGTCAATTTAACCAACCAGCAGGAATGAACATATGAGCAGCAGATAACATTAAATAAAGGAATATTTGAGATGCAAATGGGTGGAATAATAGATTATGCAGCAGACAAGACTACCTAGAATGCCATGGAGAGATGGACTGGGAAGTCCGAGGATAAGAGATAATGATGAATACTGCATGATGTATATATAAGTTGCAAAAATGAATAAA